AATAGTTATTTTTTATCTGGGGAAACTTGGGTAACCCTTCCTAGAGGAGTTGGCATTTCAGCTGGTTTGTTAAAGACCAGAGTTAATTTGAATACAAGTAGATATCACTGATTGGTTTCTACCATGTGAGTTAATTAAGATGATTAAAATAGCTAGTTGTCAGGGCACCAGATTCTGTCCTGGTTGCCCCTCTTCCAGGCCAGCTCTCTGCTGTGGCCAGGGAGTGCAGTGAGGATGGCCCAAGTGCTTGGGCCCTGCACCCCATGGGAGACCAGCAGAAGTACCTGGCTCCTGCCATTGGATCAGCGCGGTGCGCCAGCCACAGTGCACTGGCCGTGGCGGCCATTGGAGGGTGAACCAATGGCAAAGGAAGACCTCTTTCTCTCTGTCTCTCTCTCTCTCACTGTCCACTCTGCCCATCAAAAAATTTAAAAAAAAGAGCTAGTTGTCATTGCAATGTCTAGTACATAGTAGGTATTCAAGAAATGTTGCTGGTTGCATACATAAAGCACATGGTTAATTGTATGTCACTAGTCAACTGTCTTCATTTTATGAGTGATGTTAGAAAAGTCATTGTAAAATGTTTGCCCAGGAGCTGACTTGAACAGTACTTCTTCAGTTATCAAGCCCTTTAGCTGTTTAGCTGCCTACATTCATCTTATAAACATTGACCATCATGCTTTGTTCTTGTAAAATGGTGCAGCTGCTTTGTGGCTATTTTGTCTACTCCTCACTAATCAGCTTTTCTCCAGAGAATTTTCACTGATGTCTAATAGATGATCTTCTGCAAGGATGGCAGGAAAGCCTGACACTTGGAAGTTTCCCAGTGCTCTTGCTCAGCCTCTATTCATTGCATGGATGAATATAGATGCTTACTCTTGAGCCAGTTACAAAGAAAGGAGATGCTGATACGTGGGTGATCTGGTTCTGAAGGGTTGTATTCATGGAGGCAAGCTGAGGGTAGAACTTCATATAGCCCCATTCTGAATTCATGTGTTTTTACCTGCTGCTAATGATCCTAATGATAGGATTAAGAGTCAAATATTCAATGAGGCAGCACATTACCTTGACACCTAAGTGTCTCTAACTGTATATGTTTATTTAATTAAGCTCTTTTAGGGATCACATTGCAAGTATTGCAGTTATTTAGTCACTCAGCTAAAGAATGGTTAAAGTTCCAAAAATATATCATCTTGGGGTATTAAAATGCTCAGATGCCTTTCACGTGCAGCACATAAGAAAATGGCAAGATCCTGGTAATTATTCTTAGGGCTATTGTCTGAATTAAGGCACAAAAATGCCTTGAACTGCATGTGCTTTAACTCCTTTTTATCCAATTAGAAAAGGAGAAAGATAATCCTCATATGGACACCATACTTTTCTATTGCACCTGTCCAGTTTACCTTGACTTAGGTGATTAGATGTCTATTCTGGGGCTATTTTTCCCAATGAAGAAAATGTGCTTCTGTTTCTGTATTCCTCTGCTTATTCCAGGGTAGATAAAAGGGATAGCATTTTTGTATGATTGTAAAATCAGCAAAGGTGGTCTACTGTAGTCGAGGACTGCTTTGTGTGAGGTCTAAGAAACCTTTGTATAGAAAAAAGTATCTTCAAAACCTTTGAAATCTTTGATGTTTAACTTTACTGCTTCTGGGACTTTCTTATGTAAGTAATTGTATATTAAAATAGCAGTAGGAGAATGACTCAAATCATAGATTTTATAGGTAGAGAAGGGGACAGTGAACAAATTTGCCCTTTTAACTTCATTTGGTACCACAAGTCCCTACCACAGAAAAATAGTTACCTGTGTTAGATTTAGAGACTTTAGAGCAGATATTCCATTCCAATATCAAACAGCATGACTCAGAGAAATCTTTCTTAGGTCTAACCTAAGTTCTTCATCTGGAATTTAAAGCTATTTTCCTAGTTAATGTGCTTATTGTAGATAGAGAACATTGGAATAACTGATCAAATACCTTAAGAATGTTGGTACATCATCCATCAGTCTTCCCCTTCACCAGGCAGAATAATCCCAGTTCCTTTAATCTTTCCCAATTGATAGTACTTTTCAACTCTTTAATCATCTTTGTGGCTCTTCTGCACTTTAGTAGAGTTAAATTTGAACCCTCCAAATTGGGTACAGGTTTTAAAAAATTGTTCTGCTAGAATAAGAGTAACTATGCGGTCCTATGGAGTTTTGGCATAGTTAGAGCTGCACCAGAGACTCCTCTCATCCCAGAAGCAGAACTACTTCATTGACCTTTTTCCTCCAAGCTCACAGAACAATTTCTTTCCTATGTGTTGATGTTATGAAGACTCAGAAGGTAAAAATAAAAAAGAGGTGAAGGCTCAATGTTAAGGTGATCACCATCTAGCTCCAATTTTCTTTCCCATACTACATAAAAAATTTATTTAGTTTGTGAATATAACATTAGTTGGAAGACTTTTTAAAGTAGAATAGTTAGTATAATTAAGTTATTAAAAATTCTTGGGGTGGAAGGAATTTAAATTGGCAAACAAAAAAGCGGTCTGCACCCTAATGTTTATTGCAGCTCAATTCACAATAGCTAAGACCTGGAACCAACCTAAATGCCCATCAACGGTAGACTGGATCAAGAAATTATGGGATATGTACTCTTTAGAATACTATACCGCAGTAAGAAACAACGAAATCCAGTCATTTGCAACAAAATGGAGGAATCTGGAACACATCATGCCGAGTGAAATAAGCCAGTTCCAAAGGGACAAATACCATATGTTCTCCCTAATTGGTGATAACTGACTGAACACCAAAAAGGAAACCTGTTGAAGTGAAATGGACACTATGGGAAACGGTGACTTGATCAGCATAGCCCTGACTGTTAATGAACAACTTAATACATTATCCCTCTTAGTAGTTTTTTTGTCTGTTCTACTTAATATGACTGGTTTAATTCTGTAATTAATACACAGTTATTCTTAAGTGTTGAAACTTAACTGAAATGTGATCCCTGTTAAACATAAGAGTGGGAATAAGAGAGGGAAGAGATGTATAATTTGGGACATGCTCAAGCTGACTTGCCCCAAATGGTAGAGTTAGAAACATACCAGGGGATTCCAATTCAATCCCATCAAGGTGGCATGTACCAATGCCATCTCACCAGTCCAAGTGATCAATTTCAGTTCACAATTGATCATAATGAAAGGACTAAGAGTCAAAGGAAGCACATAAACAAGTCTAGTACCTGCTAACACTAACCAATAGAATAAATAAAGGGGAGAGTGATCCAACATGGGAAGTGAGATACTCAGCAGACTCATAGAATGGCAGATGTCCTAAATAGCACTCTGGCCTCAGAATCAGCCCTAAAGGCATTCGGATCTGGCTGAAAAGCCCATGAGAGTATTTCAGGCATGGAAAGCCAAGACACTCTGGCAAAAGATCTCTGTGAGATCCCAGTGGAAAGAACAGGTCTTCAAAGAAGGAGGTACCTTTCTCTGAAGGGAGGAGAGAACCTCCACTTTGACTATGACCTTTTCTAAACAAGATAAGAGTCGGTGAACTCAGAGGGCTTCCATAGCCTTGGAAACTCATGACTGGAGCATAGGGAGATTACTGATGCCATAGACAGGAGTGTCAATTGGTAAAGTCAACAACAGGAGTCACTGTGCACTTACTCCTCATGTAGGATCTCTGTCCTTAATGTGCTGTGCATTGAGATTTAATGCTATAACGAGCACTCAAACAATATATTTCACTTTGTGTTTCTATGGGGGTGCAAACTGTTGAAATCTTTACTTAATGCATACTAAACTGATCTTCTGTAAAAAAGAAAAAAAAAGAAATTATCAATTCCCAACTTGACTCTCACTGGGATTAAACATGACAATAGGTCTGATCTGATTTCATCATCATTTAAAAATATCATCTATTATTTTTCACTTTATGTTTGTGTGGGAGCAAACTGTTGAAATCCTTACTTAATGTATACTAAGCTGATCTTCTGTATATTAAGATAATCAAAAACTAATCTCGATGTGAATGGAAGGGGAGAGGGAGTGGGAAAGGGGAGGGTTGTGGGTGGGAGGGACGGTATAGGGGGGAAGCCATTGTAATTCATAAGTCGTACTTTGGAAATTTATATTCATTAAATAAAAGTTAAAAAAAAAAAAGAAAAAAAATTCTTGGGGTGGGAGAGCAAGTATGGGGGAAGAACCACTAAAATCCAAAAGTTGTACTTACTAAATTTATATTCATTAAATAAAAGCTTTCTATGATAATAAAAAAAAACCAAAAAGTTCTAAAAAGATTTATTTTATATGACAGAGTAAGAGAGGGAGGGAAGGATGTATATGCTAAGAGCTAGTCGAAGCCAAAGCCTGGAGCTTGATTAGGTTCTGCCTCATGAGTGGTAGTGGCCCAAACCATTCGGACATCTTTTTTTGTTTGTTTGTTTTTGTTTTTGACAGGCGGAGTGGACAGTGAGAGAGAGACTGAGAGAAAAGTCTTCCTTTGCCGTTGGTTCACCCTCCAATGGCCGCTGCAGCCAGCTCACCACGCTGATCTGATGGCAGGAGCCAGGTGCTTACCCTGGTCTCCCATGGGGTGCAGGGCCCAAGCACTTGGGCCATCCTCCACTGCACTCCCGGGCCACAGCAGAGAGCTGGCCTGGAAGAGGGGCAACCGGGACAGAATCTGGCGCCCTGACCGGGACTAGAACCCGGTGTGCCGGTGCCGCAAGGCGGAGGATTAGCCTAGTGAGCCGCGGCGCCGGCCCAGACGTCTTTTAATGCTTTCCCTAGAGAAAGATTTTATTTATTTTTTCTGTTGATTTTATTTTTTCCCAAAAAAACTTTTATTTAAGGAATAGACATTTTGATCGCGGTCTGTGCCAGCCTCTCTTGGCTGAGCTTCCTGCGGGTTTCGGAGTCTCCCACGAGGCCGTGGATGAGGAGGATGAGGAAGCAAGGGCGCTGCTGGTGGGCGGCACCGATGAGGCCAACCCAGGGGCCCCCGCTGCCTCATGGGCACTGCCGGCCCTCTGCGACCCCAGTCACCTGGTGCACTGGCTTTTGGTGCTGCTGCCGATGTGCTTCCTGGGCTTTGGCAGTTATTTTTGCTATGATAATCCTGCTGCCCTTCAGACTCAGATTAAACAGGATATGCAGGTGAATACCACGAAATCCATGCGGCTGTATATCTGGTATTCTTGGTTTTGTGTTTCTTTGGTGGCTTTTTGATAGATCGAGTATTTGGAATACGGTGGGGCACAATAATTTTTAGCTGCTTTGTTTGCATTGGACAGGTTATCTTTGCTCTGGGGGGAATATTTAATGCTTTTTGGCTGATGGAATTTGGAAGGTTTGTGTTTAGGATTGGTGGGAAGTCTTTAGCTGTTGCCCAGAATACATATGCTGTAAATTGGTTTAAAGGCAAAGAACTAAACCTGGTGTTTGGGCTCCAACTTAGCATGGCTAGAATTGGCAGCACAGTAAACATGAACCTCATGGGCTGGCTGTATTCTAAGGTTGAAGCTTCATTGGGTTCTGCTGGTCATACAACCCTTGGGGTGACACTTATGATTGGAGGCTTAACGTGTGTTCTTTCCCTAATCTGTGCCTTGGTCCTTGCCTATTTGGATCAGAGAGCAGAGAGAATCCTTCATAAAGAGCAAGGGAAAACAGGGGAGGTTATCAAATTAACAAATGTGAAGGACTTCTCCTTGCCGCTGTGGCTCATCTTTGTCATCTGTGTCTGCTATTATGTCGTGGTCTTCCCTTTCACTGGACTTGGAAAAGTTTTCTTTACAGAGAAATTTGGATTTTCTTCCCAGGCAGGAAGAGCAATTAACAGTATCGTGTATGCCATATCAGCACCCATGTCTCCAGTGTTCGGGCTCCTAGTGGATAAAACAGGCAAGAACATCATCTGGGTCCTGTGTGCGGTAGCAGCTGCTCTGTGTCCCACATGAAGCTGGCCTTCACGATGTGGAACCCGTGGATTGCCATGTGCCTGCTGGGACTGTCGTATTCGCTGCTGGCCTGTGCGCTGTGGCCCATGGTGGTGTTTGTAGTTCCTGAGCATCAGCTGGGAACTGCATATGGCTTCATGCAGTCCATTCAGAATCTCGGGCTGGCGGTCATCTCCATCATTGCTGGCATGATACTGGATACTCAGGGATACTTGTTTTTAGTTTACTTCATAGCCTGTGTTTCTTTGTCACTTTTATCTGTGGTCTTACTCTATTTCGTGGATCATGCCCGAGGAGGGAATCTAAATTATTATGCAAGACAAAGGGAAGAAATGAAAATGTCCCATACTGAATGAGAAATTTAAAGGGCTGTGTTGAGAGAATGGATTGCACACATCTTTGGTTTCAAAACCTCCTTTTTGTATTAAGTTCTTCATTAACAGTCAGGGTATGGCAGATCAAGTCACCGTTTCCCATAGTGTCCATTTCACTTCAACAGGTTTCCTTTTTGGTGTTCAGTCAGTTGTCACCGATCAGGGAGAACATATGGTATTTGTCCCTTTGGGACTGGCTTATTTCACTCAGCAACTTAATACATTATCCCTCTTAGTAGTTTTTTTTGTCTGTTCTACTTAATATGACTGGTTTAATTCTGTAATTAATACACAGTTATTCTTAAGTGTTGAAACTTAACTGAAATGTGATCCCTGTTAAACATAAGAGTGGGAATAAGAGAGGGAAGAGATGTATAATTTGGGACATGCTCAAGCTGACTTGCCCCAAATGGTAGAGTTAGAAACATACCAGGGGATTCCAATTCAATCCCATCAAGGTGGCATGTACCAATGCCATCTCACCAGTCCAAGTGATCAATTTCAGTTCACAATTGATCATAATGAAAGGACTAAGAGTCAAAGGAAGCACATAAACAAGTCTAGTACCTGCTAACACTAACCAATAGAATAAATAAAGGGGAGAGTGATCCAACATGGGAAGTGAGATACTCAGCAGACTCATAGAATGGCAGATGTCCTAAATAGCACTCTGGCCTCAGAATCAGCCCTAAAGGCATTCAGATCTGGCTGAAAAGCCCATGAGAGTATTTCAGGCATGGAAAGCCAGACACTCTGGCAAAAGATCTCTGTGAGATCCCAGTGGAAAGAACAGGTCTTCAAAGAAGGAGGTACCTTTCTCTGAAGGGAGGAGAGAACCTCCACTTTGACTATGACCTTTTCTAAACAAGATAAGAGTCGGTGAACTCAGAGGGCTTCCATAGCCTTGGAAACTCATGACTGGAGCATAGGGAGATTACTGATGCCATAGACAGGAGTGTCAATTGGTAAAGTCAACAACAGGAGTCACTGTGCACTTACTCCTCATGTAGGATCTCTGCCCTTAATGTGCTGTACATTGAGACTTAATGCTATAATGAGTACTCAAACAGTATATTTTGCTTTGTGTTTCTATGGGGGTGCAAACTGTTGAAATCTTTACTTAATGTATACTAAACTGATCTTCTGTAAAAAAAAAAAAAAAAGAAATTATCAATTCCCAACTTGACTCTCACTGGGATTAAACATGACAATAGGTCTGATCTGATTTCATCATCATTTAAAAAATCATCTATTATTTTTCACTTTATGTTTGTGTGGGAGCAAACTGTTGAAATCTTTACTTAATGTATGCTAAACTGATCTGTATATAAAGAGAATCGAAAATGAATCCTCATGTGAATGGAAGGGGAGAGGGAGTGGGAAAGGGGAGGGATGCGGGTGGGAGAGACGATATGGGGGGGAAGCCATTGTAATCCATAAGCCGTACTTTGGAAATTTATATTCATTAAATAAAAGTTAAAAAAAAAAGCCTTTTTTTTTTTTTTTAAGGTTAGAGCTTAGTCATTAGGAAAAATGAGGGACTGACAAGTTGTATTTCAGATGTACCTATTGCAAAGTGAATCTGCTGGCTTGTGTCTTTGTGCTGTCTGCTGCTGAAGAATTCGCCTTTAGAGCAGGCTGTCGACAGGGAGCACTTTGGAAAACTGCTCTGCAACATCCCAGGGAACTTCAGGAAGTAAATGATGGAAAATACTGGGATTTTCATTAGATACCTTAGGGATGTGATCTTTCCTCTATCTTACAGCAGGAAAGAAAACTTCTGAGGGGACAGCAAGGCCGTTTTGCACGGCCTTGTTACAAACGTTCCCTTTTGCGAAGGGGAATGTGAGCAAGTCCTCTTTCTGAAGCCTCTCCCCAACCATCACTTGCAGGTGGCGCTCTGCTCTCCGTTGGGTTTGAAGGCTGCTGAGTTGTGACCCTTTTGGGTTTCTTACCTGTTACTGAGACCCTGCTCACTAAGAGACATAATTTTATAGTACAAACTTTCTGTAGCTTTGCCTCATGCTCTGATAACTCAAAAGTATTCATTTATGGTGATGATTTCTTATCTAGATGGATAAATAAAATTACTGCACAGAAGGAATACCTGATATCTTTTAACTTTTGGTTTTTAAAATATACTGAAACACCGATTGTAATTATTCATGTGGAAGATTATCTGTAAGAAAACATAAGTTGGCATAAAGAAAACTTGTCTGTTACTGTCCCTGAAAAGTCACAAGTGGCTTTTTCTCCAGTGTAGGACTTTTAAGTTACCATTTTGTTGATTTTGTTAAATAAAACGGGAATATGACACTTCTCTGACAGACCTTAAGACTTTGCACAATATTAATGAAAGTCAAGGACTTTTCCATGTGTTTTGCTCTCTGTAGGCTTGCAGATATTTTAGACAGCATAAATGAAATCACTGTGTTTAGCTGAGTGTCTTATGTAAGATGTGTGGCATGACATTGTTATGATTGGGAATGCAATCCTTATGCAGGGTGACTTCATGGACTTCACGTTTTCCTGACTTAGAGTTTCTGGTGTCATTATTCATGCATATGTTCTGTGGACTCTGTGCTAACGTGGCAGCTACACCAGCAAGCCAGAGTGCAGGCAGTGGGCGTTGCTGATGCATGGCTCCTGTGGCCTAACCCCTGCCTCACTCCACTGCCTCTGTGCTGCAGCCACAGGGAGCTGCTTCCATGTTTTCAAGCAACCTCTCAGGGGCTTTGTACAAGCTGTTCCCTTTGTTTAGAAGGTTTTTCTCTAGGGTTCTCTACAACCTGATGGCACCTGATTTACAACAGAAAACCTTAGCCCCAGCCCAGAACCATTGTTCTTTGTGGAAACTCTTCCAGACCCTTCAGGCTAAATGAGGTTCTTCTAAATGTCCCCGGTCTTTGAAAAACCCTGTACTTCTTTTTGGCTTACCTCAGTTTATAATAAAGAATTTATGATGGTGCGAGTGTCTCTGTCTTCCTTAGATTGTAAGCTCCATGAGGGCAGGGGCTGTGTCTGTTTTATTAATAATGATTGTATCCATTGTGCCTAGCACAAAAAGGCACAAAATAAATATTTTGAATAATGCAAAAAAAGAATAGACATTTTATAAGTACAACTTTAGGAATATAGTTATTCTTCCCATCATACTCGCCCTCCCACCCCTCCACTTCCTCTCTCTCCCATTCCCAGTGCCATTCACAATAAGATTCATTTTCAATTAACTTTGTACACAGAAGACCAACTCTATACTAAGTAAAGAGTTTAACAATTTGTGCATACACACACACACACACACACACACACTCACAAACTGAGAAAAGTTTTACATTTAACTCATAATACAACTCATTGAGGACAGAGGTCCTGCATCAAAGTTAGTGAACAGTGACGCCTGTTGTTAATTTAACAATTCACACTCTTGTGTATGACATCATTGATCACCTGAGGCTCTTGATATGAGATGCCTAGGCTATGGAAGCCTTTTGAATCCACATACTCTATCAGTATTTAGACAAGGCCATAAGTAAAATGAAAGGTGTCTCCTCCCTTCAGAGAAAAGTACATCCTTCTTTGATGGCCACTTCTTTCTACTGAGGTCTCACTCACAGAGATCCTTTATGTAGAACATTTTTTGCCACAATGTTTTGGCTTTCCATGCTGAAATTCTCGCATGCGCCTTTCAGCCAGACCAGGATGCCTTAAGGGCTGATTCTGAGGTCAGAGTGTTAACTTAAAGCGATTATCATTCTATGAGTTTGCTGTGTGGACTGCTTCCCATGTTGAAACATTCTCCTTTTAATTCTATTATTACCAGACACTTGATTCTATTTATATGATTCCTTTAACACTCAATGCTACTATATGTTCACTTTAACACTTAATATGGTCACTTCAGCACTCAAGATGGCATTTTTACCATCCAGCTTAATGGGATTTAGGATCTCCCTGGCAAGTTGTTAAATTGTATCCTTAGAAGTAAGTCCATAGAAATGTATGCAGAACTATACAGCTTTATGGTTACAAACTTCCCCCTCCCTCCCTTATTCCCACTCTTATATTTTACTGAGATCTCTTTTCCATTGACTTTATATACACATATGATTAACTTTATGCTAAGTAAAGAGTTCAAAAAATAGTATGAAGGAAAAAAAAGTGTTCCTCGACAGTCAGGACAAGGGATATTCAAATCATTGGTTCTTGAAGTGTCAATTTCACTTCTACAAGTTTTTTTTTGTTTTTGTTTTTTTTTTTTTTTTTTGGTGCCCTATTATCACAGATCAGGGAGAACATATGGTATTTGTCCCTTCAGGACTGGCTTATTTCATGCAGCATGATGTTTTCCAGATTCCTCCATTTTGGATTTCATTTTTTTGACCACTGTGTAGTATTCCATATTGTACATATCCCATAATTTATCCAGTCTTTAGTTGACAGGCATTAAGTTGATTCTATGTTTTAGCTATTGTGAATTGAGCTACAATAAACATGGAGCAAGCAGATATCTCTTTTATTTATTGATTTCATTTCCTTTAGATAAATTCCCAGGAGTGGGAAGGCTGGGTCATACGGTAGGTCTATATTCAGGTTTCTGAGGTATCTCCATACTGTCTTCCATAGTGGCTTTGTCTCTAGGCTCTTCCTACAGCCTTATCACTGGTGATTTGAGCTGCTGCAGTCTGCTCTCACCTCAATCCCCAGTGCTGGTATGGAGGCTCTAGGCTGCTAGGGTCCCAGGTTGTGGGCACCCACTACCTCCATGTTGGTCTATTGTGTTCCTCTAATTTGTGTAGAGTTTCCCTGACATTTTCTCCCTAACTCTTCCTTTAGACTGTCTCCACTTTTTAAAACTATCTTCTCCTAGACTAGAGCAGTAAACTCCCTCCCTACTCCACCATCTTAATCCCCAATGAAAGATTTTAAAATGTCATAAAAATAATACAAAGGAGGTGATAAAGGTCAAAGAACATAAAGTAGCAGCTATATTGGAAGAAAGGGTCTAGAGATCTAATGTACAGCATGAAGATTTTAGTTAAGAATGTTATGTGCTGAGTTTTACTGAGTT